TCAGCAATAAAAATAAACTACCTAGTTGCATGAAGCAATTCAGTCTGGATTTTTATTACATAGCACTTAGCAGTGATTTGCGATTGTGAAACAATCTTTAAATAAAATTAATATGTAATTATTCAATATTAGGTAGGATCAGTGGTTTACTTGATAGCTATGTCAATCAAGAACATCATTTTACAAAGTAGGCATAATTAGAAAACAAAAGCTATACACAGGAAAGATAACATAAAATACTTATAAAAAATGTAAACCGTACTAAACCTACTATTAAAAAAATTACTTCTACAGACACACGTTCATACAATTAGCCCACTGCAACATTGTGGCGCTAATTGCAATGATTAATGCAAGCATTAGAGCATTCTTAAAAAACTTCATGGGTACCAAAGTATCTACTTTTGTAATAGCTACAAACTCAGTTACTTTTTATTGAAGGTGAACGTTTTATAATATATTTATAATATCGGAAAAAATGTGGCGACTTAGAAGTCCAGACTGGAATTACCAATCAGGTTTTTCAGGTTCACTACTTAGTTTGCCAAAAAAAACCGGCCAAGTTGGAGTAGGACTCGCGCACCGAATCCGAGAGTTCCGTACAAAGTACAAACCTGTAGGTGTAGGTAAGTGAGCATTCATGAGGGAAAGGGTAATAAGTTTATAATTATTGAAAATAATAAGTATGTGATGTTTGAAGGTTTTCGGAACTTTTCCTTTACCTAAGTAAGTATGTGTGCTATAAAACATTGCTTCGTCGTGTCAAATTTTAAGATTCTAGGTCGACTGGAAGTATCCAAGGTTCGATTCCCTTGCGAGTAGTTGCGAGTGTCAAAATATGCAGCTTAAATTGCCGTTTCTTTTGATTGCGTTGACACAGAAGTTTGATTTTGTTACACCGGACCTGTTTTGCTTTGCAAATAATTGTCCAGTGTTAATTTATTTATTACTTAATTAAGAATGACGATAAAATCTATCTACAAGGATACACTCTTTCTTAGCGTACCTACTAATTTTATTGTATCTTGCTTGCGTATGCCACGTGGCAATAGGTATATGAGATTGTGAATACACCTATTAATAGCTCTATTAAAAAATGAATTGAATGCATGAAGACTACTTTACATTAATAGCCTAGAAACTGGATAATTCATCGATTATCTAGTTTCTAAGCGATTAATCCAATGCAAAAAAAAAATACACTCGTCATCAAATAAATCGCACCTCCCGCAACAAGCACTTTTCAAAAGTATGCATCCTCACTTCCCACCAACATTGATACTATTTGAAAGCCTAGTTCTAAGCTTAATTTTAACATTAAAGGAAAGGCTTTTACCCCAAAAATGTGTCTTTAGAAGGATCCAGAGTCACTTCTTCAAAAAATAGGTAGTTACGCTTGAGCCAACTTTTATGGCTTAAAACTGTTAAGTTGGGATTAATTGCTATCCATCTGTTAAAGAGGACACGTGAGGTCATTATTTGGTTTTATAACCATAAAAATTGGTCTAATTGATCCCACAGGTGAGCCCAAAGTGAGGTCATTTTTCAAGTCACATTTTTATGGTATATGTTAATCGTTTATTAAGAAATTAAATGTGTTTTTCTTTAAGGATATTTATTGGGCTTTCAAATAACACCAATTCGATGGCTCCTACGTATACTGGCGTAAGTGAAAAAAGTAAATTTTACAGGAGAGCCATTTTAGTGGCCAGAACCATATTTTTGGGTCATATCTTCTGACCTACTAAAACGAATTTAATGAAATTTCACATTTAGCCTTAACATGTAATGCTTTTGCTACTGCTGTTATCAATTTTTATATTTTTCTTATATATTTTGAGATTTTACGCATTGCCCTTTTACGTCGTCACATTTCTATAATTTCATGTATATTGTTCAACGTAAAGAGACTTAAATGACAACGTAAATATAATATTTTAAGCGATTACTCTCTTTATTTATGCATGTAATTATTTTAATTGTTATCATGTGCTATATCAATAATAAATCAGTTAGAAAAAGTCGTTTAATGTACCGTTTTACGTTTTAACGCAAATACGCCCATATACTGTGCTCGAGATTTAGTTAGGTCTTTTAACATAATGTGTCATATTTTTAAAAAATATAAATAACTTGAAAAAATCGAATTGCCTAAGGCGGGAATTGAACCCACGATGCCTTAGGCAGTTCGATTTTTTCAAGTTATTTATAATTTTCAAATTAGTTTGAGAAGCGACTCTTAACGCTAAAAATTAAATAACTATATAATGTGTCATAATTTATAAATAAAACAATTTGCTAAATATTTTCATGGCTTTATTTAAGATTTGGATTATAAAAAATATATATTTATGTAAGCAACTACTCGTATAGATTGACGAATCGTATGATTGGGCTTTATACGTGGCGTAGTTTTGTACATACGCCTATTTGCCTAAAATTTTATTTTGTATCTAATGGAAAAAAAATATTTTTTCTTACTGACGTTATAGATTAGAGCAAAATGAAATCATTTCTTAAATAATTGGAAAAAGGCGTAAGCGGCAGTTTCGCCTTTATACGTAGGAGCCATCGCAATATTGTTGGTTACCATGATTATGTCAATTCCGCGACGCGAACTTTAAAGAAAATCTTTAAAGTTCGCGTCGCGGAAGGTGCGATTTAATTGACGTTGAGTATATTTTCGCTCTATAATTACATTTGTGTGTCTGTAATATTGTTGCTAAGAAGGTATTGCGTTTTTACGCCAAAATTGTTCAACTAACTTTGATATAGATTTTGGTGAGCTTTAAAGAAAGCTAAAAGCCTTATGTTGTAAAAGATGTCGAAAGTGTTAAGTTCGGGGAAGTATTTACCTTAGTTTTTAGGGCTTCTCTTATGTAAGAAATAATGAAATTACATTTATTATTTAACTATAACTAGCGGCCGCCCGCGACTTCGTACGCGTGGATCCCGTTTTACCCCCTTCCCGCTTTTCTGTTGAAATTTTTCCTGAATTTTCTTTGCTATAAACCTCACGGAGCCCGAGACCTTTCCAACGAATGCAAAACCGTGGAAATCGGTTCGTGCGTTCTGGAGTTATAGCGTCAGGGAGGAAAACCCGACTTATTTTTATATAGTAGAATATGTACTTTGCCTAAACAGTTTTTTTATTTACAGGTCTCGCAATAAAATCATCTGTCTCCGTCCAACAACGCGGGCGAAGCCGCGTGCATTAGTAGATGTCATAATTACGAGCCTGATGATAATAGGCTAAATCATCGACAGAAGACTATTAGAGCTATTGAGAAGTCATTAGCACATAAACATGACTTCTGATTAGTGTTAACATCAACACGGGAAAATGCAAAAAATGCTTTGTGGATAGAGCAGTTCAAGTTCAAACACACAGCTTGAAGCTATCTTTGCTCTACCGATCTGTTTTTACACAACCCACAGGATAAGTTAATGAAGATCAGCTATAAAAACCTGTACTTACTTACATGTAAAAATATCTACGAGCTTTTACGATGATGGTTCCATAAAAAATAAATTCCACTCTAAACAATTCCCTTTTCCTCGTTCTTTTTACATGTGGTGGTAATTAACTCTCTTAAATTGCCACATAAATGGATTACGCCTATAAAATAATGATCAATTATTCTATTGTGATTTTCTTTTTTGCTCGTACTTTTGTACCTGTGGTGGTACTTTAGTTGTCTCTTGAATTCCCACTTAAATGGATTACTTACGCCTTTACTCGTATAATGAACATGCGGCCGCCCGCTACTTCGTAGGTAGGCGTGGATACCGTTTTACCCACTTGGGGTGAAGTTTCATAAAATCCTTTCTTAGCGGATGCCTACGTAATAACATCTACCTGCATGCCAAATTTTAGCCCGATCCGTCCAGTGGTTGGGGCTGTGCGTTGATAAATCACTATGTCAGTCAGTCAGTCACTTTTGAGTTATATAATATATAATTTAGATTTAGATAGTTATATTCTGTTATTGTGATTTTACTCACGCAATATAAATGACGAAAGTCAAGTAATACAGCAGCAGAGTTCTCCAGAGGAGAGGCGGCTGGAACAGCGGCGCAATCTGAGTCCACAGCGATTTCAGCGAGAAAACCCCCACTTCCTCTTTGTTGCCATCTTCCAAGTAGATTTCTTTTACCTACAACAAATTATTTATTTTATGTTTGGCCTCAATATAAAAAATCCTCTAATAAATAATTAATATATTAATAGTGTTATGAGAAAACATCAGCAAAACGAATAACAATAAAAAATGTTATCGCTAACGCCATCTGGTGGGAAAGTGGATAGATAAGTATTGCCACTTATTTTATAATCGGCGTATTTTTCCTTGAAAGCCTTGCCTTGAATATATTATTGATGTAAATTGTGTGCGATAGATGGCGCTATGATAGTAAAAAAACATCTACCATTATAATAATACTTGATGATTCTCATGCTATTTTTTAAAATATTTAATTAAAAACCGTTTATGGTTTGTAGGTCCAATAATAAAAAAGTTTTTTTTATATTGCTCGCTTTGTACGATTATAGTTATCTTTCTTTCTATAAACTACGTTAAAATACTCGTTTCTAAAACATTTATTTTTCAGTATTTCCATTACATGCATTTCGCATACTGTTTCCTTCCTTCGTGCATTCGTTCGTTTCAGCCAAAGACGTCCACTGCTGGACAAAGGCCTCCTTATCCTAAGTTAATTAAATAACAAAAATATACCAAAAACAGTAGATAGACTTACAGGATACTCCCCAACTCCACCATTCTTCGTATACATCTCTCGCAGCACGTCCACAGCTTCGCTGGTGCGTCCCACATTGGCCAGGAACTTGGGGCTCTCGGCGTAGAAGTGTAGGCAGAGAGCACCCAGACCCAACGGGAGAGCCATGACGAGAGTCAGCAGCCGCCAGGGACGGTACACGATGAGCCAGAGGGGGGTGGAGAAGTTCAGCTTGGTGATAAGATAGCCTAGGACTGGAGAGAACATGATGGTTAGGTGGATTTTTCCTTTGTGCTGGACGCAAGTAGGCCTGCCTGAATACTTTTCGTTTTGGTAGAGTACAAAAAAATCATGAGACATTGAAAGAAAAGAAGATCTTGAGGTCTTAAAATTACCTAGTCTAGAAAATTGTTACATGACAGAATGAAGGAACATCGTTTGAGAAGGGTTTGATCGATTCAGTTTTGATTATGTTTGGGTCGATCCGCAGAAAAATCACACTTCGCTCGCGCAGACTACATTGGCACTTGGCAGGAGTTTGAGACAAGCAGAGAGCACCCAGACCCAACGGGAGAGCCATGACGAGGGTCAGCAACCGCCAGGGACGGTACACGATGAGCCAGAGGGGGGTGGAGAAGTTTAGCTTGGTGATAAGATAACCTAGGACTGGAGAGAACAGACTGAGTTGGTTTTTGTTTTGCACTGAACGGTTTTCGGTTCGTAAAGTTCCTAATATTTCGACTCGCGGAGTATTTAAGTAAAAGATCATGACAATAAAGTAAGATGCTTTGAGTCTGTGTCTTAAAATCACTGTGGTCTAGAAAAATTCTACATAAAGGAATAAGGGAACATGGTATGAGAACGGTTTTCTCGATTTATTGTTGGTTGTGTTCTCTCTGCTTAACTAAAAACTCAGTAGAAAACCTTCTTGGCTTCTCATGGCCCTTGTTGGTCGGGAACTTGGGGCTCTCCTTGTAGAAGATTAGACCCAGTGGGAGAGCCATCACCAGGGTCAGCAGCCGCCAGGGACGGTACACGATGAGCCAGAGGGGGTGGAGAAGTTCAGCTTGGTGATGAGATAGCCTAGGACTGGAGAGAACATGATGGTTAGGTGGATTTTTCCTTTGTGCTGGACGCAAGTAGGCCTGCCTGAATACTTTTCGTTTTGGTAGAGTACAAAAAAATCATGAGACATTGAAAGAAAAGAAGATCTTGAGGTCTTAAAATTACCTAGTCTAGAAAATTGTTACATGACAGAATGAAGGAACATCGTTTGAGAAGGGTTTGATCGATTCAGTTTTGGTTATGTTTGGGTCGATCCGCAGAAAAATCACACTTCGCTCGCGCAGACTACATTGGCACTTGGCAGGAGTTTGAGACAAGCAGAGAGCACCCAGACCCAACGGGAGAGCCATCACCAGGGTCAGCAGCCGCCAGGGACGGTACACGATGAGCCAGAGGGGGGTCGAGAAGTTCAGATTAGTGATGAGGTAGCCTAGGACTGGAGAGAACAGCCTGAGTTGGGTTTTGTTTTGCACTGAACGGTTTTCGGCTTCTCGCTGAGTAAAAAAAGGTCATGAGTTCATGACCAATAGAAGACATATTGATTCTATACTGTTTTAAAATCATTGCAGTCTAGAAAAACTTGCTACATTTACCTAACTTATGATAGAATTCGATTAATCTACGAAAAAGTCAGAAGTTTTGGTTATAAACTTGGGGCTCTCCTTGCGCTACTGTAGTATATAGTGGGCGTGAGCATGAGCGCGCTGGTCATGAGCAGCATGTACTTCGCGCGCACCCGCGCTGTGCACCACTCGCCAAGTAGCGCGCACGGGATGATGGATGATGGCTACCACAACGTAAAGGTAACGTACTGTAGTATATGGTGGGCGTGAGCATGAGCGCGCTGGTCATGAGCAGCATGTACTTCGCGCGCACCTGCGCCGTACAGCATTCGCCAAGTAGCGCATACGTCGCCGACTCCGCTGCGCTCGACCTGGTGACAAAGGCTCATACTTTAATATCTTTCACACTACCAGCTCGATAATAATAACATTATGCCATGTAAAGCATCTTTTCACATACTCTAAGCTCTTTCCCACAGAGACATCATGTTTTTTGTAGTATTCTATCCCGTTTAGTTGTAGATATTACGTGTTTTAATATTAACATTCACACGATTGCAAGTGTCCCGCAAAAAAACAATCCGTTCGAATTAGTAATTTAAACTTCAAACACACTTTTGTCTGTTCACACGATAGTACACTTTTGCGGAATCCTGCATTACTGGATCAAAATTGGGTTGTCGTGGGAAAGGGCCCTAATCTGTGCTCATAAAATCCTGGATAGTTGTTGCAAGTATTTCAAGCGCCAAGGACAACTTTGCGATTTGAATTTGGAATGCCAAAATTCGAATAAACAGTGAAAATAGTTGTTACCTTTTTTTTTAATCGACCGTCATCTTTTTTTTTACTTGAATTAAAGCAAAAAATAAATGTATTCTTATTCTTATTCTTATTCTTATTCTTAAAGGCGCGACAGCCAGTATCAGTGACCACAGACATTTTATCAAATCCTTTATTTTGTAGGATTTGAATTTGGAACCTATACGAAAAATAAATTATGCCTTTACAACCCACAGATAATAAAGAATTTACCATCTGGACTGGCGATATCACTGTGATCTTATTAAATCAGTGAAATCTCTATCAAAGTAGGTTATCAAATTGTTTCAGTTTAAGATTATCTTAAGAACAAAACAAATCTTACACAAACAAACCTCACACTTTATAACTAATCTGATTTAGATGTCGCATCATGATTGATTGAAGAGATGCTGAACTAATCGAAGATAATAAATATCATCATTGGTCAGTCAGTTATCAGTGTTTTATACAATCGTAAAAGTTTCGCCGAATATTAAAATATATTCGGGGATACAATAAATAACAACATTCTGTACCGGAGAAGCATACCTCTGTTAACTCCTGCATTTCATGTAGGATGTAGGATGATTCTCAGGTACAACATTAGGTACAGCTACGAGTACCTAAGTACTTCCAGAATATGCTAGGATAACAGTTCCATAGGTACTTTATTTATTTAGTATAGAACAATGATCATGGTATGAGAGCGTGGATTTCGTCCTTTCTCAAAAAATCTTTCTAGCTCGTCGCGCCATCAAAAATACGGTCATAAAATACAAACCTAGCGCCTTTATGCTGTAGTTGGTGACATTGTATACTATCGAGAGTGCCATTCTGTTGTGTACTCACAGAGCAGAGCCGATGAACCTCAGCGCCGCCAAGGTCTGCCAGTTGGGCGCGAAGCTGCTGAGCACGGCGCTGACGAAGCTGCCGCCCATGGCCCACATCAGCACCAGCTTGCGGCCCCGCGTGTCCGACAGGTAGCCCCAGGGGTACGACATCACGATTATACCTGGAATGTAGAAGATAAAATTGTATCAGGACATTGGATTTTCACCTTCAATTTGATGCTCTTTTCAGTAGGGCCTTCTCCTTCTATTTTATAAAAATATATAAATATGTATTATAATATATAAATTTTTAAAACTGTGCCAAAATGGGCTATCGTTTTTATATTTAGGTACACAGTTGGCAACACTGACGAATATCAGATACTTCAGTAGCGCCAGCTGGTGAGGGTGAATACGATAGCTAGCAAATCATTAGATCGTTCAATCAGGAAATAATGAGATAAAGTGAAATAACCAATTATTTGTCAAGTAGGTAGGTAACATAACTAAAAAGTCTGCAGTAAAAAGGTACAGGAATTCTTTCGAAATTGTCTGAGATCTATTAAATGTGTTGGAGAATCATCGATGTGGTGGACTTTGAAAATTCAGTAGAATCCAACGAGTCACTTTCATTCAGAATCCATGAGTTAACCTTGTGATTTTTCTTTCATAGCCTGTGTTTTAAACACGTACCTATGTGTTAAATCTTTCAACCTTTCTTTACTTAAACTCTGAACTCACCTGCAAACGGCATAGAGGACAGCACGCCGATCTGCTGCAGGTCCATGCCCAGGTCGCAGGTGGCGGCGGTGACGATGATGCCCAGCCCGAAGATGTCGATGCCCATGGCCGTGATCACCATGAAGCACGCCAGCAGCAGCCCCTTGTTGTACCAGCCGTGGCCTGGAATATTTAAGTCAAAGATCAAGAAAAATGGTGGGGGACTTCTTAATTATTAAAGTTCCTTTTCCTCTTCCTTAATATACTCGTACTTACAAAAGTTTGAATAATGATTTTAAAAATCTAACTTGTATACTTAAATCATTATTTTTTAGTGTTTATTTTGTTGTCGTACGAATTTAAACAAACTGGCAAGTCTTAATCAGATTCCATTTTTAATTTCTACATGGCATGGGTGGGACATAATTCTAGAAGAAAAGTAATAGGTATGTGTATTGTGTACAGTACCAACAGTACGGCCAATTCACGCCATTCCAAGCCAGAATTGTTACATAAAAAAAGTCAAGTTATTCAGAAAATTTATTTTAACAATGAGGGTGATTGAAAAATCTTCGACGTGGTCGTTTCGATCCGTTCGGGAAATGGAGGTAGTTCGGATATTTGCACATTCCATCTGTGTAGCTCAGCCATTTCTTTACGGTTAAGTACATGTCATGGTTAGGCGGTTTTATATTTATCAGTGTTAATATTGTTCTACAACTAGCATCTAAGTACGTAGTAAAATAATATTGTTTTTGTGCATAAAATTGAAAAAGTGTTGTGTTGGACCTCAAATCTATTTTGTGGCCAGTGAACTTGGTGAACATAGACTGGATCTTTTCGGACCTTTTGTGCTTCGGTGACCTGGAGTGGTGTGATGGAGTCTGCGAACCTATAAGATGAGGCCTTTGGATTTACTGAGGTGAGTTATTGTTTTTTTTATTTCAATAATGCAGGTAGGTAGGCAAGTAGTATTGTAATAATAATTACATGCTTTTGTAGCTGGAAGCTGGCTTTTCTGAGCTACCCTAAAACTGGCTTTCAGTGAGACTATGAACTCGGATTGGCGTATCTAGTGCTGTGTTTACACTGCGCGGAAATTAGCCAAGTCAAGTCAAAAAAACAGTGGAGTGGGGATGAAGAATGAATTTCATTCCCACTCCTCTGTTTTTTTAACTTGACTCGGCTAATTTCCGCATAGTGTAAAAGCAGCATAGGGTTATTTTTCGCCCTGAAATGCCATGGCCGATGGATAGGGGGGGTGCGATTAAATCATAGCTTTCGAGTATCGTAGCTCTTGAGTGAGTACTATCTTTCGAATCGTAGCCCAACATCCTGGGGTAATTTCATAATTTGTGCTCCTAGACTTGGGCAATTTTGAATATCATTGTAATTTGATTGCAAAGTAAAATAATGTTCAAATGTGTTGTGCTGAACCTCAAATCTTTTTGGCCAGCAGATTTGGAGTGGATTGGCGCGGGCGTTTTCGGACCTGTTGTGGCTGACGTGCTTGGTGGAGCCTTCGGATTTAGGTAAGTGATTTTTAATTGAACTGAATTGTGATTTATACATTAATGTCTTTTTATAAACGTCTGCAATAACTCTGATATATTATGGCTCGTGCTTAGCTTATTGATATTTGCTCTTATACTTATGTATACCTATTAGATAGTAAGACGAAACTAAAGGTCATAAAACCATGGAACTGGTTTTAAGTAGGACTACTCATATAAAATATGCGAGATAACTTCAATATAATTCGATAGTAATTTGCCGCAAAAAACGTGAGTCATTGCCGATCTAAGTTGTAAGTAGTACGTAGGAATATTAAGTATTTTTTGACTGTAGTAAGATCAGCTAACTGTAACCCAATAAGAACTATAATAAGTTGGTACCTACATTATCTATTACTTATCTTTATTTCCTTTATTCTTCAATCAAAATTCAATAATTTCACTTCGGTAGAAAGAGATGAAGCAGTATTACGACGGGGTATTATAGAGCTCTTTACGTTTTTATAAATTGACAAGGTGACTAGAGATTTTAAACCAGTCCGTGGCATTCTGGGCGTGTGGTGGCCCTACCTGTTGTTTGTCAACAAACCGCTTCACTTAGAAACTTACCTGTCAGGTCCAGAGCCTCCTCATAGCCGTAGGATCTGGTCTGCGCCTTATTGTTGACAGCTACATAACTAAGTTCTATGTCTCCAGCTCCTTTGGTGTACCCTTCGTTAATTGCCGCCATTTTTGTCTAATTATGAAGTTCGCAATTTACATCAACACAACTTAAATTAACTTTACTTAAACTTAACTTTTCACGACACTTAAAACTAACAAATGTAACTTAAAATACGTAAATGCAAATGTTTTCGGATATCACAGAAATTACTTTTCTAATAACAATTTTATCACATGACCAAGTATTTGACTAAGTGGTGTGTCCGCCGCGAGAAGCGAACCGCGACTGCGAAGGTCGTCCGCCGTCTTATCACTGAAGATGTCAATGGATCAGCGGATGAGTCCGTTTCTCGTTTTTGTATCGGTACGAGGATAAATTATATCGTATTGTTGATTTTTTGTTGTTGGTGTTTTGTAGAGTTATACGCAACTCGACCGTGTTTTATTTAGTTCCTAAAAACTTATTAAAATATTTCTTAACTTGGAAGAAGTTAATAGGTTTTTAGATTCCGTACCCGGACAGAGGTGCTAATGGGAAGCTTTTAATGCCTATGCTGTCTGTCCCATGAAGCACATAAATATTTTTTTACAAAATGTCGCTATAATAAAAACATTAAAAATAAATGGGACCCCACAAGAAACTTCTGACTCGCACTTTGCCAGTTTAGTTTAAACTGTATAATTAAGTACGCAATTGATTATCTTTTTAAACCTTCGTTTGACCATGAGTAGAGGCGAAAGAGTTTCGAATAAATAGGTCTACTTACCGTACGTACTATCCGTAAAAATAAATTTAAAATAAATCTTTGGACAATTTCACACAGCTTACATTAAATTTAGAAAGAGGTCCATTATTCAAAGCATGCCAAAACACCCGCCACTATCGCCTCCTAAAATTCTTACCGCAATAACTAGTGGCTGAAAATGTATTGTAAGATAACCAACCATTAGTATTCTGCAGTTTAACGTTCAAATGGCAAAACCATTAATTAACAGTAAACCGTACTACGATTCACAATAACAAATTTTCTGCCCCTTTAACATAGTGACTATAGGCTCTATATTATGAAATAGGTACTTTATTAGTTTAGCTTCTTGTATAGACTAGACTTTTTATAAAGTTTTTATGACAAATATACTTGTACCTACAGAAAATTTAAAACAGTACAGAAAATTAGGAAATTGGCCACAACAGTAGTCTAATTCAAATTCCACTTTATTAGACAACCAAGTTTTTAATCTCTACCTCTACATTGACTAGAAAAGTATAGAGTCAGCGATAAATATTCTAGTCTGTAATGTGTAATCTATTTGTCGATAAAATGAAGAAATATTATTTTTTATCTCAAGACCTCTTTGACCTTAACTATCTATTAATTTTTGACGTCAGCAAGTTACGCCCGTATTTACAAACATTATTATGAGGTCTCACATTGCCCGTCGACGCACAGGGTGACACACGAATCAATCACAGAGCTGTATTCAACGCTGTGCGTTCGATTTATTGCTTCACTTAAGCAAGCATCTTTTGTGAATACGGGCGATACTTAGTGTAAGTAGGTACCCAAAGTAGATACATTATTGTAAATTGTTCACTAACGATTACATTGGAACATGAGATCACAATAAATAAAGTTTCCTTTCATGTAAGTAGATCAGATCATTATCTGATCCCGATCAGTCAAAACTGCTGATAACTTACATGTGACTGTTTTAAACTAAAGCAAAGTGATATTCGATTTGTGATAATGTCATGTTAAAGTAGACGTTTGTTTGTTTATGTTTATCTAGACTAGGGTCACTGACCAGAACGTCCTAACAAGATCATGAATAAAACAATATTAATAGATAATACTTACCTACTTTCTGCCTAACTAATGCTAATATCGTAGCTAAGCATGAAACGTAAGTTTTTATTCAAGCCATCAAATTGATTTAAATGTCCAACAAACGCGGGTAACACAGGTAACTTTAACGGTAACTATGACGATAACCGGTGCTTTTTGTATGGAGTTTGACAGATTTTTGACGTTCGTTAAAGTTAATTAGGATGGTGCAACCCTGCCTAAGGCCGGTTAATTTTAACAAACGTCAAAAGTCTTTCAAACTCCATACAAAACACCGGTTAAGGTTATAGTCACTGTTAAAATAAGGTGGTGAAACTCATCCTAAGTCTATAAGATAGTGAGGCTTCCATTTCATTTCCTTTTATTCTATTGTATTTTTAGTAATAAATAAAAAGTCAGTAATAATACAATATAATTAGTTTAATAATATAAAAATAAACGGTCCGCGATCACAGCACCGGCCGCTCCGGCCGCGTGCTCTTCGGGAGTATTATACACAGCAGCCCGCTCGCTGAAACACGGAAACAATATGTTAGCAACTCTAAATTACTATAATTTAAGTACAATTTTGCTTAATCGACGGGACATAAGCCACTGCCAAGATTTTAAATAGCTTTGAAACCAAATAAATAGCCAGAATCTAATAAGAAAATGGCCTTGCAAAATGGTCATTTCAGCCTTTTACTCGTACAATGTGTAATTAGACATGCGTATTTCTTTCAAATCTAACTTGTTTGTGACACATTACTATACATTGTATAGGTTTGGGAATGAAAACATTGCGAAAGAAGGCAGGAATCTGACCAAATACCTACATTTAAATCTGAGGAAGAAAAGCAGGAAAATTTTCCAACTTGACCTTGGCATGGCATTATCAAACAAGAAAACATAAAAATGTCATTGCAATTTACTATTAAGGTCATCTTTATGGAAAAATAGGAAAATTGTTCAGGAAAACTGCGGAAATCTAATTCATTAGGCATCTATTTATTGATATTACGTTAAGCAGTCGGTAAACATTGTGCAGCTATGGCACTAGCTTTGATCCGGTCATAACATATTCCCACCTCTCGTTCCCACCGCTACAACTCCTGTGTAGCCAGGATGTACAGCTTGACCGCCAATAAAAACCTAACCAGTGAAGGGCAAGTTTGTCCCGGGGGGAAGTTAAATTGTCATTGGACCCGCAACGAAATCAATCAGAAGAACATAGGAGAATTTCGAATTGTAAACCGGATGACAGCAAACAAAGGTTTAGTAACCTTGGTGGTCGTAAGGAATCATTAAGACCTTTCTTTTTTTTATCCACAACGAGGAAGCTCTTGGCCTGTATCTCACCTGATGGTAAGTGACGATCAGGCCGAAGGTGGAAGCGAGCTTCACCCGGAATCCTCAACCACAGAGGAACTGGCTATCTTACCTCTAACTGCCGGAACACAACAATGCTGTTAACATTGTTGTTGTGGCGACAGACTTAGGTAAGATGGTGGTAACTAGCCAGGCAGACTTAGACCAAGCCCTACCACCAACCAAACCGAACAGAAAATTCTGCCCCCACTGGGAATCGAACCCGGGACCTCTTCGTCTGAAGCAGGTGGTCTTACCGAGATTACCTTAGGCCGTTTAATTTTCTACATTGTAGAGAATAATAATACCCCCCAGCATGAAAAAAATTTTTGCGGCCCCCCTGCTTCGGAGCTTCGCTTTTTTTCATGCCTTTTACAAAGATGTTGTAGGAAACAAATTCTTCAATCTATACAACATTTATGCATTTGCATCTCTGGTTTTATAACTGAGGTAGTTTTTACGACCTCTCGCGTCCCCTCTATAGAGGCTTCGCGACCCCCGGGGTCGCGACCCACAGGTTGAAAAACAGTGCTCTACAATAGTAAAGGAACACTTACTGATGAGGAAGGTGCCGAACATGTAGATGGGCACGACGCAGTGCTGGTCGACGAGCGCGCCGAACACCACGTTGCCCACGATGGCGCCGATGCGGCCGCACATCACCGTCACCGCCATGGCCGTCGCGCTGGGGACACATCAATCAAAATCAAAAATATTTATTCAGTTTAGATCACAAGTGGCACTTATGAACGTCAAAATATAGTAAACTAGCTTTCCGCCCGCGGCTTCGCCCGCGTGGAATTTTGTCTGTCACAGAAAAACTTTATCGCGCGCGTCCTTGTTTCAAAAACCGGGATAAAAACTATCCTATGTTCTTTCCCGGGACTCAAACTGTCTCTATGCCAAATTTCATCAAAATCGGTTCCGAGGTTTAAGCGGGAAAGCGTAACAGACAGACAGACAGACAGACAGAGTTACTTTCGCATTAATAATATTATATAGTTGGGATAATAAAAAAAAGAAAAGGTAGCCCTTATGGGCACTTTACATGTCTCCTTATCTTTTGGGCCCTACCAGCGCTTCGAGACAAACATATGGCAAGTGCTTAGAAAAAACGCCGGAACAAACTCAGTCACCACTAATTGCCAAGAATTATCTAACGGTAAGAATAACCAAATTCAAGTACATCAAATATGTGCAGACTAAACTGACCAAGCATCCTTGTCATCAATATGGTCTCGAACCTATGTATCAAGTTCTTATTATTTATGAGTATGAATATTTAACAGGACTACTAAGATATTTGACATAGCTTCATACATTTATGTCCTGCCTTATTTATGAAGCAATTCGTGGATAGAGTAGGGTTATAATTTAGGGCCGGAGGACACATTATGCTCAAAAATAGAACAAGCTTGGGTGCAAAAACTAATTCTATCAGATTCACACCCCCTTTTAACGTAATTAATCGTTCAGGAGACTAAGTGTTTTGGACATAAGCGGATCCTGGTGGTGTTCTTGGTCAACACGGCTAACTTTGTCGTCCTTAACGTAAAATCGGAAATCGTCATCAACATTTTAGTTACAGGGCAGCCACTGCTGTAAATAGGCGGTAGGTAGGTCTTCGCTACCTGCTACCTTTATGAAATTGTCTGTCCATCTTGTAAGTGGACGTCTCACGCTGCGTTTTCGGGTGCGTGGCCTCCACTCCAGAATCTGGCTGCCCCAAATCGACTTACCAAACGAACTCTGACATGTATGAGGTTCACTTATTTTGGTACTTTAGCTGTACTGCACAGTACAGTAGTGTATACGATAGCTGACTCAGAAGTGATACTCACGCGACTTTAGTAGGGAAGATCTCGCATATGACGCAGAAGAGAACAGCCTCCGTGCAGCTGACAATGGCTTCAAACACGCACGACAGGATCAGGTTCTCAGCTAACCTCGCACTTTAGTTACTAGTGTATGTCAAAAGATACTCACGCGACTTTAGTGGGGAAGATCTCGCATATGACGCAGAAGAGGACCGCATCCGTGCAGCTTACGATGGCTTCAAACACACATGAGAGGATCAGGTTCTCAGCTAACCTCGATCTTTAGTTACTAAAGCCTGGTCCGTGAGCAATATAATTACGCGCGAGCGATAAGGATGGGTAGCTTGGGGTCATTGGACGGGATTCTACGTGCTCATGGACCAGGCTTTAGTGTATGTCAACAGATACTCACGCCACTTTAGTAGGGAAGATCTCGCAAATGACGCAGAAGAGGACCGCCTCCGTGCAGCTTACGATGGCTTCAAACACGCACGACAGGATCAGGTTCTCCAGCGACGACCGCACCAGGTTCAGACCCAGTGCCGCCAGCCCGGAGCTTATTAACATAAATACTGGGAACAAATAACAATGACATTTTAAATATACTCATAAGGTGGATACATCCATAACATCAATAACAGTTGTTTACAGTCCACTGCTGGACGATGGATGTGCCTCCTTATATGAGCGGGTATTGTAAGAGGCGACTTAGGGGCTACCCAACAGAACGGGCAGCAGCGCTCTCTGATAAACACAAACCCCCTTACTAATAAAAAGTTGTTGATCACTGTTTTAAAATGTCATTTCCATACTAAACTTCACTTTAAAACACTGATCAACGAGCGTGTAAGTTTTATTAGTAAGGGGGTAATATTTTATCTGCGATCTCCGTGGAGCGTGGAGATTATGGCAAACCCCTCCACATCCATAACGACCACAAAGAAATTAACTATAACTCAAAGCCACGACAGCCGAACGGTGAAGTTGTCGGACTAGCCGACTCGACATCCAAGGAACGCGGATTCGATCCTCGTCACTACTAGACTCGTGAGCCCACTCGTAACACAAGCATTTTAGCTTAGTCCGAGGGGCTAACGGGAATACTCGAGTTAGTAATTAAATAAAACGTTGAAACGTGCCTTCAAAAAATAGATAAGTACTCTTTATTGTACCTACCGGACACAGAATATAGGAAGTATTATCGCCAGGAAGCGACCTCTCCAGGCAATATTATTATGTGGAAGTCGGTTGTTTAATAAGATGAATGATGTAAAAGATGTCTAAAAATAGTATTAGGTCACAAGCGCGAAGATCAAAATATGACTTGAATCTTTGATGAATATCTTCCGCGTTTTTTCACACACAAGGTGAAACCAAGCCAAGGTGTAGGGCATCTTTACGATAGGTATAATACATGCATATTATACTCGTATTCGAAAGATTTTTCTTATACACCAAAAGGCAGGTTCGTTCGTTCGTTCGTTTCAGCCAAATGACGTCCACTGCTGGACAAAGGCCTCCCCCAAGGTTTTCCACAATGAACGGTCCTACGCTGCCCGCATCCAGGCTCTTCCCGCGACCTTTACCAGATCGTCGGTCCACCTAGTAGGAGGCCTGCCCACGCTACGTCTTCCAGCCCGTGGTCGCCACTCGACAAAAGGCAGGTATTTGACTGCAATCACACTTATACTTAAGTGAGATGATTCACAACATCATTGTAGACGTGTCTGTCTGTCGCTCACCTAGCATAGGCTTCTTGCCGACGTAGTTGATGGTGATGCCGACGGTGAGCGCGGTGGGCAGGCAGCTCAGCGCGACCACCAGCGTGTGGATGTACACGTTGTCGTCCATCACCTCTTGTCTGGTTGCCGTCTGCGAATAAATAATTAAAATTAATTACACTAGTTACTGGATGGGAATGTTTTTCCTAACGAGTATCAGTGTTAAGTCTTATCGGTGTTGTGACTCGTTGGGAACAAGCGCTTTTAATTTGTAATTAACAAATTGTCATTTTTGTATTTGGTGAAAAAAATTGATGTGCGCTTACCTTTAGGCAAAACTTTACGTCACGATGCTATAGATTTATGAAAAATGCATATACAGGATGGAGTTTTGTAATGCCACCTAAAGGGAAAGTATTCATATAACTAACTGTAGAAAGAGGGTGCGCCAAAGTTCACCTAAATTTTCAACTCCGAAAATTGGAAGTCCGAAAATGTTCTTCCTAAAATTTTTCATCCTAACAATCACAATTCCTAACTACTCTGTCTCTAATGTTCATAATTCCGAATCATTCAACTTCATAATGTCATTAGCAATAAACATCTATTATACTTTTATTTGTTCTCCTAGATTTTCTAAACATAACCATATTTTACACTATTATTCAAAGTCATATCTTTTTTGTTTAGATTTCTTTCTTTGACGATATATTAAAGTTCAAGTTTGTTGTTGCACGTATACTTGAGTCCCGCTCCAATCATTCAGTCAAGTTCCAGAAACGAATCGGTCCTATTCATAATTATTGGTTTAGGTTAGGTTAGAACTGTGACCACAACGCACCAGCCGAGCGAGCGAAGCCAGAGTCCCGCTCCAGTCATTGGCGACGCGCAGCGAGACCTCGCACGAGCAAATCCCACCACCACCCATGGTTCTTCCTGCCTCACGGCGTACGAACCGAATCTCGGGAGAGCGCGCAGGTACTTGCTCTGGGCTCTTTCCCCGGGCGCTTTGCTTGACTCCCTACAAATTTCTCTTATCCTTGTCCCTTCTCATTGTCAATTCTCCCCCTTCTGGGGCTTGACACCACAAATACGGTACTTCGCGTCGGGCTGCTAACGTTGATGAATGTCATCACTTCTCGTAACTTCGCCTGATTGTGTGCCAGGAGTGCGCGAACTCGCGCAGCGCGATCCAATTACTACGACTACTCGTGAGGTCCTGGTGATAAACAGGTCCTTGCTCGGCTCTCCGTATCGCATCCAGCATCTTCTGTCGAGCTTCTTCATAAAGGTTATGCACGAGCAGTCCGGGACACATGGCGTGTGACGTCACACTCACCGCGATGACGTGCTCGACAACGGCGGCGGGGCTGGGCTCGTTGGCGACGCGCAGCGAGACCTCGCTCGAGCAGTCCGGGACACATGGCGTGTGACGTCACACTCACCGCGATGACGTGCTCGACGACGGCGGCGGGGCTGGTCTCGTTGGCGACGCGCAGCGAGACCTCGCACGAGCAGTCCGGGACACATGACACATGGCGTGTGACGTCACACTCACCGCGATGACGTGCTCGACGATGGTGGCGGGGCTGGTCTCGTTGGCGACGCGCAGCGAGACCTCGCACGAACAATACGGCTAGCACGAAAAACTTTAGAGTTCAAATCGTTTGCGTACTCGAATCGCCATCAAAAGATTTAGTACGAAAACTACAACAGCGCCCTTGTGAACGTGTCGTAAAGTGAACTTAGTGTATGAAATGGTTGCACAAAACTTATTTTGAGAATCAAAATTGTGACGTTATCGTTTAATTCGAAGGTTGAGTATCGAATTTTATCGAATACGCAAACGATTCGAAGACGAAAGTTGTTCATACTAGAAGTACAGTCCGGGACACATGGCGTGTGACGTCACACTCACCTCGATGACGTGCTCGACGAAATAAAATTTCCAATATTACAGACCTTCTAGAGCAGATGCCGCGAAAACTATACAATTTATAGAAAAACTTGTCTATCTCACCTGTAGCAAATTGAATATGCTTTTTTTGGTTCAAAATAGTCATGTCACTAGGACGCATAGTTTCCGAGGATTAAGCGAAAAACCGAAAAGTGACACCTTTAAACCCCCCTCACCCCGCCGGCTCAAGGGCTAAGGGCGGGGACTTTTGCTATGTTCACCTCCTAACTAGTCTAAATAAAGTCCTGAAGTCAGAAATTGTGTTCTACAGTTTTCCATCTATAATGCTTTATTGACTGGACTAAATGGATATCAATATGAACACACCTTTACTCAACACATTATCCTAGCTAAGCCTAAAGATGATTACTGACTGACAACTTAAATGGTCATTTTATATCTTAACTTGCTTTCCGCCCGCGGCTTCGCCCGCGTGGAATTTTGTCTGTCACAGAAAAACAATATCGCGCGCGTATTTGCTCACCGTTTAGACCTACCCTGGACTACGACAAACATTTTAAAACCAAAATCAGCTCAATCGGCCCAGCCGTTCTCAAGTTTTAATCAGACTAACGAACATCAATTCATTTTTATTTATATAGATAGATAGATAGATTACGGAGGCAGATTTATACAACGTTCAATGTAAATAGTGCAATAAATAGTAAATAGGCGTACGCAATTTATTTTAAATAAAACTTTAAACCAGGATGCAAATGCCTATCAGTAATTGAGATTCTAGAAATCTTACGAAATAGTTGCGATTAAGAATAATTAAAGTTAGTTTAAATAAATTAGTGTAAATGTTAATATGCGTCATCATCATCATCATCATATGAACAAAGGGATCCCCAATAATTTCTTTAATGATCGGTTGGTAGCAGCCTGCATCCAGCGCCTTTCTGCTACCTTTATGAGGTCGTCGATCCACCTTGTGGACGTCCTACGCTGTACTTTCCTGTACGTGGCCTCCCCTCCAGAACCTTGCTGCCCCATCGGCCGTCAGTTCTGCGTACTTTGTGCCCTGCCCATTGCCACTTCAGCTTGCTTATTGCAATATGTACCGTTAATTATGAAAAATCTAAAACGTTAAAATAACGGTATCGTTGTGGCCAATGAGATGCTGTCATTCATAGTGATATTGACGTAATGTTAATGTCACGCTAGAATCAAACGTTAGAATAGAGGGACGCGCGGTGACGACTCCGCGCGCTTTTGTGCTAAGTGAGTATCCAGTGTTTTATTTATGAGAATAGGTCGACCGACCTCTAAAAGTACTTATGTATAAATATGTACTAGATAAGCGGCTCAGAATAAAAATAACTCAAAATCACGCAAAAATACGCAAGTCAATAATGACAAAGTTTTATCAGTCTCATTCGTGATATGAGTGTTATCGACTACCACCTTTCTGGGCCTCGCGGCAACTGCACTTTTTAGGTAATCTACAGGGTGGAAACGATAAGTGATCTCACTCGATTATTTCTAAACTATACAAGATATCGAAAAACTGGTTATCCTGTAAGTGTTTCACAAGCTCTTTCAAACGGTACCAATAATAAGTTACAGAATAAACTGGAACTATCCTAAAATTCAATGTTTCCAGCTTCCATACTAAATGTATGCCGACAACACATTATTAGAAGTGTAATTTATTTCTTGTTAATTAATAAACTTAAAAAGTCGGTTAAATTAACTCGTAACTTGCATCTTATTTAAAATTATTTGTGAAAAACATTAGTTTTAGGTTTTACTTGCTATAAAATTATCAAGAGATGAGTGCCATGACTGTGATAGTACTAAATGTATGGAAGACGGAAACATTGAATTTTATGATAGATCCAGTTTATTCTGTAACTTGATATTGATACCGTTGGATAGAGCTCGTGAAGCACTTTTAGGATCAGTAACCAGTTTTACGATATCTTGTGTAGTTTTTAAAATTATGTAACTTTACCAAATGTATGGAAGCTGGAAACATTGAATTTTCGGATAGTTCCAGTTTAATCTGAAACTTGTTATTAGCACCGTTTGAAAAAGCTCGTGAAGCACTTTCAGGATCAGTAACCAGTTTTTCGATATCTTGTATAGTTTAGAAATAATCGGGTGAGATCACTTATCGTTTCCACCCTGTATATTTGCTTGCAATCGACTGAAAGTTTGTCGGTAGGCTATCTAGAACTTCATAGAAGTAAGAAAATTGAACTTAAGAACAGCTCTGTACGAAACATACGTAAATGGAAAATTATTTGAAGTCTATGCTATCAGCAGAATCTAACTATGTATAATGATGCAAGTATAGTTTTAATTTAAAACACATACTGTACAAAACTGCCTAATGATGGTCTATACTAAGTACGATGAAACTCCTTGTACGAAAAACTTGTTTCTAATTTTATCTTCTTTTTCCGTTGTCGCTTTTTTCTTTTTTTTACATTTATACCTATTTTTAAGACAATTTAAAAAGCGTTTCAATTAATATCTCTCGTAGTGTCGGTAACGTATTATTACTACTAGCTAGCTCGCTACATTTAGTTTGTCACAGGTCGTCATAAATTATAGCCTATTATGTTATTCTGGGTAATAAACAATAATATTGTAAAGTTTCTTCAAAATCCGTTCAGTAGTTTTTGCGTGAAAGAGTAACAAACATGTTAACATCCAGACATCCCGACATCCAGACATATACAAACTTTCGCGTTTATAATATTAGTAGAATAAGTTCATGCAACCCATTTCACTTCTAAGAATATTTTCAGTATCGTGAGAAAAACATATGTTTACGTCAAATGTCCTTATCGCTGGTGACATGCCTGCCCTTATATGGTATCCGCATTCTCAATAACTACAAAAAGGATGTGCGCACTTGAACACTATTATCACTGATATAATCTTGGAACAAGTGTTTTATTTAGAAATGCGATATCAAGGATTACCGTGAAAAACCGTGTTACACTAGACCGTCTGTTTATATACAGTCATAATAACGTGTATTAGGTATTTATTTACTTAAGTACACCAAGAATATTTAAGTGTCTACATGGATATATTTAAAACTGTGACTCTACATAAAATATGATGTACCTACCTATTATGATTTTGCAATGTTTGTTCCTTCGTTCGTTTCAGCCAAATGACGTCCAACTGCTGGACAAAGGCCTCCCCCAAGGTTTTTCACAATGCACGGTCCTGCGTTGCCCTAGAAACTATTTTTTGCTAAAATGGGGGCTTCTCAAGACTGTTCCAGAAAAAGCTCACTTTATGCAAAAATGGTTGGTCAGTTCATGAAAATTATTCATCGATGAAGAAATGATTCTTTGATGATGCGTTAAAAAATGGCTTGGATTAATAGCTTTTGAGGCTCAGTTCTAGAACTTAAAGAGGCACTAATTTAATATTTCTTATACCATTAAAAGCCATAAATTCATTGCATTGTTGAGTGACAGAACCCAGACTTGACTTTATTTGCTATACTATCTTATCGGGAAGGTCGCCCGCATGCCGATTTGTTAGTCAACTCCACGATAACGCGAGCAGACAATATGGCGGCATGATAAGTGACATTCTAAGGAATAACACGGTTCATTTGATAGAGGATTAGCTGATGTATTGCATGTCAAATGAAAGAAATGAAATAACCGTGTTTTGTTTTGTCACCAAAATAAAATTATCATATTTACTAAACTTTAATTTTATTTTTAGTGATAATATTTTATGCGATAGTAACTCTATCTGTTTGTGCTTTCACGCCTAAACCACTGAACAGATTTTGATGAAATTTGGCATAGAGATAGTGTGAGTCCCGGGAAAGGACATAGGATAGTTTTTATCCCGGTTTTTGAAACCTGTTTGTGTTTTTCTGTGACAAAAAAAAATCTATCAAAAAAAAAAAAAAAGCAGAAGAAGACTGTAATGGTTCCCAGTTTTGTAGACATATAAGAAATTTGAATTAATCTAATGGTCATAAGATTGACCCATTAATGACACATCTAGTGATACAACTGTAAGTCGAAACAACCCACGCAAAAAAGAAGAAAAGAAATGTAGAGTCAGATTAACAAGTTAAAATAATCCAAAATAGTCCCTTGTTTGTAATTTCAAAAATCACTAGTTAGCTCACCCTTTCAAATTTCATTAGATAGCAGTAATCTAAAGTCCCATCATCATTTCACTGCTGAACATAGGCCTCCCCCAATGACTTCCACATCGCACGGTTGGTAGCGGCCTGCATCCAGCGCCTTTCTGCTACCTTTATCAGGTCGTCGGTCCACCTTGTAGGTGGACATCCCACGCTGTCAATCCCATTATTTCTGTCAAAAGTGCAATTAAATAACTATTTATTGTGTTAATAAGTTATTTTAAAGTTTAATGCGGGCTTTAAAAATTTCCAGCGATTACTACCCAAAGGTTAACCATGTTTTTATAATCCTTCATCGAAGATAACACCGGTCAACAAAAAAAAATTTTTTTTTTGCGCATGGATTTTACTTATTATATTCTGATTATATAAGCAAATTTATATAAAAAAGTGCGATTACAAATCGGAAATATTTGCTTTTTAAAGAGTTATAGCGATTTGAATTTTCCATCTTCATAGTAAAATGTCTCTAAAGATGCACGTCTCATTCTCATTGGGATATATTTATAGATAATTATGGGGGCTTATTCGCAAGAACAAGGGGCACACTTTCATCAAAATATAGTGGGATTTGAGAGACGACGTCACCAAGGCCAGTAAACTGAAAGCATGACAGGGTTAGATTTTTATGAGAAAAATCTTGTATGAAACATGACATTAAATTAGAACTTTACATTTTTAATAAATATTTGGACTCTATTTTAAATTTTCACTTGTGAGAATGAATCTTAAATGAATGCTTGGTATGTTTTAATAATTAGAAAGAATGAAAGAAAGAAAGAAAAAAAAATATTTGGCAACAAATTAAATCATCTCCATGTTCATGTTTCATACATTCATTGATATGAATTTTTCTATTTTTTACAAATAAAAGCAAATTCAGAACAGTTTTTTGTTGTTATTCTTATTTCTAGGTATTAAAGCAATAAAAATAAGCTATGCATAACCCGTGCGCAAAAATGCTGTAGACAGTTGTAATCATTTACTCATCTTCAAAAAAAACGGTAACAAAACTAATAACAACGTCCAAAATTGGCGCGGGTTTCGTCGAATCCTCGCATGCGGTAACGGTAAACCGGTAAACGGCTGATTTCGTTTGAAAATCATCTTTATTTGAATGCAGTAAAGATGTAATACGAGTAACACGACACATTTTATCGGTTTCTGAGGATTTAATTAATTCTTACTCATTGGTAACGGGCATCGATGAGTCAGTACTGAACAGCAGCGTTGGAGCGGATATGGTGAAGTAACGCTTTGATTTTTTATATTAATTAAATATTGTTTATTGCATCATTTTAAACAGCAATTTTAGGATGTAAATCTACTACAGTGTATTACGAAACATTGTTGGAAAATTGTAAGCTTTAGTTTTAATTTGTTAATTGAGTTCGTGAACTGGTCGTGACTTGTCATACAAAACAATGGGAGAGTCGCGTTTTGACAGTTTATAAAAGGTATGTCAATTGAATACTCAGTAATAATGAGGAGATCCGCAGGAGAACCAAAGTAACCAACNCATCCGTATACAAGGACGTCACGTCCAGCAGCTTATGTAAATAATGTGAAAATGACAGAGAGGGTTTAAAAATAAAAATATTACATAAATTTAGTTTTTTAGGAAAAGTAAAAACAGAAACTAGCCTTTTCTTTTTGGTTTTAATGCTAGTAGTCCAGTCAAATTAGACATGAACCCTGCAATAATTCGCATACAGCTGAAAATTGGTACGAATGTTCGGAGCACCATTATAAATTAACTGTGAAAAGTCCCCATCGATCCGACATGTGCTAAAAAAAAATTCAAGGTCAAACTTAAAAAATACGGGTTTTTGAGATTTTCAGCCAAACGGTAAGTTTTATCACAAAAATATGTATGACAAGGTTTAAGACCATACAATTATCTATCAAAATTGTCTATACACTTTCTCCTAAGAGTCAGCGTTTCTGAGATTCGATGATCCGAAGAGTCAAAAAAGTGTTATCTTCATAACGGTCTTACACATAAATCCAATGTGATATCGCCTCGTGCGTCGACTCAGCATTGTATCATGATGTGTTGTCGACGTCGAATATAAAATGATCAACCTCAATGTCGTCTGTCATCTTTAATTATCGAAAAATGGGTGCAACTTTGACGAAGGACTGCACCGTGAGTTTCTACGATTCGTAGTTTTCGTGTCGATTATGTTTAAGAGCTCTTATATGCACACGTCATTATTCCACTTATAACTCTATGGTCACTCTTTTAGCCCGACCAAGTTAGACAGTCCAAGTTATAATAATTTACATAGAGCTGAAAATTTGTGTGAATCCCCGACACGGATCGTCGGTCCGGACAAAAAATGCAAAAAACTTGGACTTCGTAAAAATTTTTTTCAAATGACGGATCGTTGGGGCCTTTTGACATTTCATTAAGGATGGTGTTCTCAACATTCACACAAATTTTTAGCTCTATGCGAATTATTATAACCTGGATTTTCTGACTTGACCGGGCTAAAAGAGTGACCATAGAGTTACAAGTAGAGTATTGACGTGTGCATATAAGAGCTCTTAAACATAATAGACACGAAAACTTCGTATCTTAGAAACTCACGGTGCAGTCCTTCGTCTAAGTTGCAAACATTTTTCGACAATTAAAGATGACAAACGACTTAGATTTATGTGTAAGACCGTTATGAAGAAAACACTTTTTTGACTCTTCGGATCATCGAATCTCAGAAACGCTGACTCTTAGGAGAAAGTGTATAGACAATTTTGATAGATAATTGTATGGTCTTAAACCTTGTCATGCATATTTTTGTGATAAAACTTACCGTTTGGCTGAAAATCTCAAAAACCCGTATTTTTTCAAGTTTGACCTTGAATTTTTTTTAGCACATGTCGGATCGATGGGGACTTTTCACAGTTAATTCATAATGGTGCTCCGAACATTCGTACCAATTTTCAGCTGTATGCGAATTATTGCAGGGTTCATGTCTAATTTGACTGGACTATAGGGTCCAATTTTTCTAATGTACCTAATTAGATACCCTATTAAAATTTTGTCTGTCTTTTGGAGGTGACCTTATATATGAGCGAATTCCGCTTGCAGCTCAAGCTCATGCGCCACGGCTTCGGCAGTTTCTACCGCTTCCGCGCGCGGTCGTTAGATTACGAAGTGCTCTTTACGAATTTCAATTTCGCGACCTCGTATGGTTGCCGCTCGCGCCGCCCATATTGGAAAAATGCTGCCTAGTTGCAGTTTTTTTAAATTTTTCCTTTCGGATTAATTTTATGATAAAAAATTGTAAGAGAAACTAAACCTAGAAAAAATATTCTATTTTTGATGTCTATACAGGGTGGAAACGATAAGTGATCTCACTCGATTATTTCTAAACTACACAAGATATCGAAAAACTGGTTACTGATCCTGAAAGAGCTTCACGAGCTCTTTCTAACTGTATCAGTAACAGGTTACAGAATTAACTGGATCTATCCGAAAATTAAATGTTTTTAGCCTCCATACTAAATGTATGCCAGCCACACAATATGAAAAGTGTAATATTTTTTTATTAAATAATAAACACTTAAAATGAACTCGTAAATTGCATTCTTATTTAAAATTATTCATGGAAAACATTGGTTCTAGGCTTTACTTGATATAATATTAACAAGACATGAGTGCCATGACTGTGGCAGTACTGGATGTATGGAAGTTGGAAACATTGAATTTTCGGACAGATCCAGTTTATTTTGTAACGTATTGTTAGTACCGTTGGATAGAGCTCATGAAGCAGTTTCAGGATCAGTAACCAGTTTTTGGATAGCTTGTATAGTTTTTAATATTAAGTGGTTTTACTAAATGTATGGAAGCTGGAAACATTGAATTTTCGGATAGATCCAGTTCATTTTGTAACCTATTATTGGTACTGTTGGATAGAGCTCATGAAACACTTTCAGGATCAGTAACCAGATTTTCGATATCTTGCATAGTTTAGAAATAATCGAGTGAGATCACTTATCGTTTCCACCCTGTATACATAACTTTTTTGTGAAATCAATTTTCATTACTCCCGGAAAACTTTCCAGGTAAAGCCATTATTTTGTACCAAATGACTGGACTAAATAATCAAAAAACGATCCCCGATTTTATCGAATCTTGCAAAAATGAAATAACCATTAAAATAAAAAGATTTTTTTTCTAGTTTCAGGATTTAGGAAATTGTTAAAGAAAAATGATTTTTATGGATAAGATATATTAATAAAATATGGATAAGCGTAAAGAATCTATCTATATAAATAAAAATGAATTGATGTTCGTTAGTCTGATTAAAACTCGAGAACGGCTGGGCCGATTGAGCTGATTTTGGTGTTAAAATGTTTGTCGTAGTCCAGGGTAGGTCTAAACGGTGAGCAAATAAGGAAAAATTTGCTTATTTATTGCCTTTAAGGCGGAACAGAGTTCGCCGGGTCAGCTAGTAATAAATAAATTATTGAAAGGAAATAGAAGGACTTTTTGGCGGAAAAGTTAAGCGTGCCTAATGTTCAGCAAGTTTGTTTGTTGTTCGTACATGATGCGGCCTGCGTTCACTCTGACATTTTGTGCTTTGAGTGTGGAAAATCCTTTACTGTGCGAATGCAACGCGTTAGCAAATTAAGGATAGGTTTGCTAGTGTCGGCATATCCGGCACCACAAGACTAGGTCCCTCTCACCTCATCTCACCTAGGCACATATTCACATAGTAGAAGAATTTACAACCAACCGGCCTTTGTGGAAATCATTGGCGGAGGCCCATGTTCAGTGCAGCAGTCCTATGGCTGAAATGATGATGATGAGATATTTTTGTGGGTTTCAGTCATTTTTGTGGGTGGTAGGCAATGTAAAGCAAAAGGGGAGCATAAAAGATCCCAATGGGCCAATGTGCATGTATACATAAGCGACAGCGCACACTGTGCAACAATCGCAGTGACTAGACGCCGACTTGTCAATTTCATATTATTATAATAGCTTGTCGTCGCGTATATGAAATTGACAAGTCGCGGCGGCGTCTAGTCGTCGCGAAGTCGCGATTGTCGCCCAATGTGCGCTGTTGACAGGATAATATGATTAAGAAAAGGATGTTTTATTTTTAACCAACTTCAACAAAAGGAGGAGGTTCTCAATTCCGTTGGTATTTTTTTTATATATGTACACAGATTACGCCGAGTTTTCTGATCTGATTTACAAATTCTTTTTTTGATCAATGCGAAATAGTTGACGAAATATTGTTGCAAAAACGGGAAATATTATTCAAACTATTTTCACGCCACGCTACCAACCGGGCAGCATGGAAAGCATTGGGGCAGACCTATGTTCTGCAGTGGACATCTGATGGCTATGATGATGATGATATTTTCATGCGTAGGAAGTAGCGGACACAGCTAGTCACTAATAATTATAAGTACTCGGATGCATCACGAATTGCAATTTTATCAAAAAGTTATAATTTTTAATTAATTTTATGACGCTAACTGAAACAACTGAAGGTTTTAAAAGAAATAAATGAAAACAGACTTATTTTAAACAATTTTGTTATATTTCTTCAACTATAACCGTTTGTTAGCCGTTTAAATTTGATTAGCCGCCAACCAAGCTTGCAAGTAACCCTCCTGGGGCTGATCCAGGCCCTTGCTCTGCTGTATAATCTGTACGATTGTCCTTCGAAAGATCTGTCAGAGTATATGTGACGAGATACGTGTAGCCATCAGAGCCGTCGAGGTAGAATTCGCCGGTATATTCAACTGGATTTTGTAGCGATAACCTGCTGTTCTGTTTGGTAATTTCGGACAGTATGTAGCTGAAAACGATGCAGTATTAGTTTAATGTGAGTATAACAGCAACTTAAAAGAAAAAATCAAAGCCTAATAAAGACTACGATGGGAATCTAGGCTACAGACTGCCTTAGCCACATCTTCATTCCAGACTTCTTGGACATCTTTTTAAACTTTTCGAACTTATCAAACAATTTTGTTTGTACTTCTGAATAGCGAAAAGACCATGATACTGTAGATCCTGGTCCTGACAAAGAAAGTAAATCAACAAAAAACTGGAAAAAAACGATTCTTGATTTTATTGAGTTAAAAAAAATATAAAAATTTAAAAAAATATATCTCAGTTTTATTTTCATTTTTTCCGTCGATAAAAATAGGTCTAGTTTCACCTATTTCATATGTGCACTTTATCAAGACTCACACTGTATGTTTGGCATACTATTCTATGGCTTAGTCTTGTCAGCGGTGGTAAACTGAATGCACCACATCCACCTAGTAAGTAATGTACAAACCTCGAGACGTCGAGTTCTACTTTTGAAGCCTCGGGGCTTCAAATAAGCGCAAACCTATCAAAAGAGCTCACGCCTTCAAAAGAGCTCGAGTTTTAAAATAAACCTTCAATAAAATCTTAAAGTGTAACTCAACAATATAAATGCCTTAAGTGATAAAGAGCACCGTCTATGAGTATTCTATTGCTAAAAAGCTTTACTTCTACTGATTCATTAGCAGCTAGCAGCCCATCATAACTAGAGCAAAGAAAATGACTCCCGAGAGCTCCCGAGTCGTTGAGCTTCATACAAACGAAGTGAGCCCTGTAGACGTCACCGAGATCTAGACAACGAGACTCGGAGGCCTCGAACCTTGTATTACATCCACATTCTCCAACCAAAATCATTAATTATACCTACAGGGTGTCCCATCAGTCATATAAGGCCTTAACAATTCGCGCCAGTGACCAAAAGTGCCTATAAGCACAGAAATTTAAAGCAATCATAATCGAAAACTATCAAAAATCGTGGAACATAATATGATGAAATATTTATTCAGCGACACAAATAAAAGACAATATGGGGGTGATTCGGGTAGCCCTAGTGCGGTATGCTCTACCTCTGGGCTTCGGCTTGACATTATTTTTGGGACACCCTGTATAATAAGTACTCGGATGTATCACTAAATGCAATAAATATAACAAAAAGTTATAAATTATACATTTTTCCTCATTTTTATAACGCTAACTAGGCCAGTAGATTACAACACAAAAATAAATCAAATCGGAAATAATTCCTACAAAAGGTTTTATTGCAACACTATTTGAGCAACTTGAGCTGGAGTAATGGGCATTATTGCAATGGCAATTATGGAAACGAGAATAACCCTAAGATTAATTTAAAAACAAAAATCAAAACGCCAAACCCTTACAACATTTAGTAATATAGACTTTTAATTTACCCGTACTCTTTAGGTACGCTCCAACAACGAAATGCGTTTCTAGAGTCAAAAAAGTTAAACAGACGCATTTTTTATGATTATAGCCTCATAAGTTAACAAAAACAAATATTCTGTTAACATGTCACATGAAACTTAGGTATACAACACCTATTTGACTTCATATCTGCGTGTTTAAGCTTGGGCCAAATTCCGTGCCGCTGAGTAATATAAATGATTCCCTTAGGTACAATATAGGAGAAGTCCAACCTATTGAATGAGACTGGACTACTCCAATTGGAATATAGTGTTAGAGTGCATCGATTCGGAGTTTGGAAGCAGTTTTTGGGCTTAAGATTTTATAGATCTTTTCTGTATGTAATTAGCATTTCATGACAAATTAATCGGAGATTTGAATATGACAAGTTACTTTAATAAGCATGATATAGGTTGCGTTTTTAGCTTCCGAAGACCTTTTATTGGACAAGAAATGATCCTATTCCTAATCTGCCTACTCCAAAATAGAATGCGGATTCTAATTATTGTCTCAATTTTTGTTTACTTTCTCTCAAATGTAGTTCAGTCAATGAAAAGATTCGTTGTATGGAAACTTCCAAATATTTCTTCTGACTATGAAACTTGGCACACGATAAAAATAGGTAAGACAGATTAGAGATACAATAATCTAACAACTTTTATTACGAGAAGTTTGGTATTTTTACGTTCGTATTGCTACCCCAAAATCAAAAAATCAAAATCAAAAATATTTATTCAGTTTAGACCACAAGTGGCACTTATGAAAGGTTGTAAGGTTAACATTGTCATTAACATTTTGCACTATCTTCTACTGAAAAATTGCTCTGCAAATTTTACCCGACTGCGCCAGAAGGAGCGTCATACGGGGGTAGTATTAAGATCTTATCATGTTTTAAAAATATAAAAATAACAAACTCGTAATAAAAGTTGTTGGTAGAATATCTGTTACGGTAAATGTGATAAATGTGAAAATTATTCGGATTACTAATGTTTGGGCAAAAAACGTTTCCCAAATTAACACATCGCAAACAACGTTTCGCAAATTTTCATTTGGCAAATTCTCATTTGGCAAAACAACTTATTGCAAACTTTTAATTCGCAAATGTCGTTTTTGGCATATTATTGTTTAGCAAATTATTGTTTGGCAAAGTATGTTTTGCCAAATGTTTCATTTGGCAAAAATATTTCACGATAAACTATTTACAAAACAATTTGATTGGTACATAGAATGGAATACAAATTAGCTTGTGGTTATTATTTTGTTTAGTGGGTAGTTAATATAATTTTTTTTCTAAATAAATTTTCATATTTCATTCTTTTTATCGAAATTTCCAAATGATTCATTAACAATAGAGATGATTCTAGCGCTCGGCGGCCGCTGCCGCGGCACGCTTCGCTCGCCTTCGCGCATTAAGGGTCACTGTTCTAACCTAACCTAACCTAGTATTTTCTACAATACCTACTTTTTGCAACCATCCTATTTTCTGCAATCTCTCTGTTTTACATAAAATTATTGTGAAAACCATGACCATGTGCCTTATGCTTTGATTTGTGGGTAACGGTGGGTACTCGTAAGTATGTGAAGTGTAATTTGACCAAGAAAATTATTTGGGATATAATATTTGGCAAAATAAAACATTTGCTATATAAACATTTAACCGTGTGGAGTTGCTGGTCCTCCCATCGGTCGCGTCCCCAGGTGGTGGATAGGGGAATGCCTCCCAGATATGGGTGGTACTAGGGAAATGAAATACCTAGCGCGAACCAAAACCAGTAGGCATGGGCGTGCCTTGAGTCCAGGAAGATACGGCCTAAGGGATCTTACCCGATACAAAAGACGAAGCTGTGGATCAGTTAACCTTCAATGAAATGGCGGAAAGACAAAACAGAATACCCCAGGAGGGTACCGTAACATGCGGAGAATCCCTCCCTGAACAGTGTCGTGCCCAAAAGACAGGACAGTGTTCGGGCAGCCCCTCGGATTCTGGGGGGGGGCGATTTTCGCTTGACGACATCGACGGTAGAATCAGGTACTAAGGTAAAGGAAATCCCCAAGGCTTACATTCAACAAGTACTTAACAAGAGCGTATTTACGAACAGACAAAGATCAAGCTCTATCGGCAACTTACCCCAAACTAAAGATAAAATCGATCTATCATTAGAACAAGATCAACATGACATCACCCATATAGATGACAACTGTGAGAACACTCAGCATGAGAATTGGACGGTAATTACCAATAAAAAGCGTCTTAGATCAAGTCCTGAAACATCAAACAGATGCAAACAAACTAAATTGAACTCTTATTGGCTAAGTCAGACAATAGAAACTTCAAATCGCTATACCGAACTGGAAGTCGACCAGGAAACACCAGTAAAGGAGAGCCCTAGAGAGCCCAGACCTCCGCCTATATTTGTAGACAAAGTGGCTAACATACAGCCCCTAATAAACCTACTCAATGCGCACGTATGTGACAATTATACATTAAAGGTGCTACAAAATGATAAAATTAAGATCCAACCACATACATCACTAATTTATCCTAAAATAGTAAAACTGTTAGAAGACAAAGACACAGAATTCTATACTTACAAACCCAAAAACGAAAGAAATTTCAAGGTAGTCCTAAAAAATATGCACCCTACAATGGATATAGACGAGATAAAAATACAGTTACATGGACAAGGACACGTAGTTGCAAATATTTGGAACATAAAACAGAGATCCACTAAAAAACCCTTACCAATATTTATCGTGGAACTTGAGCCAAAAGCCAATAACAAACAAATCTATGACATTAAAAGGCTTATGAATTGTAATATCCACTTTGAACCACCACGACCAAAGCGTGAAATACCGCAATGTTCTAACTGCCAGCAATATGGCCACACCAGAAAATATTGTCGCAGAAAACCTAAATGCATCAAATGTGCTGGGGACCACTCTTCGTCTGCTTGTGCAATGAAAGGGAGGCTGTCTAATGTCAAGTGTGTTCTTTGCGAAGGAAACCATCCAGCCAATTATAAGGGCTGTAACGTATACAGAGAACTACAAAAAATAAAGTATCCACCTCCACGCGAAAGAAAGCCTCCAAAGGCTCCTCAAAAAGATACAGAGACAGCACCCAATCCAAGTAGTATACCAAACATGCCAAAAAAGACTTACGCCCGGGTAGTAGCCAGTAACGAAAATGCAAATTATAATAAGACAGAGACAAACTATGCTCAGGATCAGAATTTCGTCAAGGATATGATGGAGATGCTAAAACAAATGATGAACCAACTTACAACTATGAACAATCTGCTCCTAGCACTAACAAATCAAATTACACAAAAACGGAACTAAAATTAGTGATTTGGAATGCCAATGGGCTGTTACAANTCCGCCTATATGTATTTGTAGACAAAGTGGCTAACATACAGCCCCTAATAAACCTACTCAATGCGCACGTATGTGACAATTATACATTAAAGGTGCTACAAAATGATAAAATTAAGATCCAACCACATAAATAGTAAAACTGTTAGAAGAAAAAGACACAGAATTCTATACTTACAAACCCAAAAACGAAAGAAATTTCAAGGTAGTCCTAAAAAATATGCACCCTACAATGGATATAGACGAGATAAAAATACAGTTACATGGACAAGGACACGTAGTTGCAAATATTTGGAACATAAAACAGAGATCCACTAAAAAACCCTTACCAATATTTATCGTGGAACTTGAGCCAAAAGCCAATAACAAACAAATCTATGACATTAAAAGGCTTATGAATTGTAATATCCACTTTGAACCACCACGACCAAACCGTGAAATACCGCAATGTTCTAACTGCCAGCAATATGGCCACACCAGAAAATATTGTCGCAGAAAACCTAAATGCATCAAATGTGCTGGGGACCACTCTTCGTCTGCTTGTGCAATGAAAGGGAGGCTGTCTAATGTCAAGTGTGTTCTTTGTGAAGGAAACCATCCAGCCAATTATAAGGGCTGTAACGTATACAGAGAACTACAAAAAATAAAGTATCCACCTCCACGCGAAAGAAAGCCTCCAAAGGCTCCTCAAAAAGATACAGAGACAGCACCCAATCCAAGTAGTATACCAAACATGCCAAAAAAGACTTACGCCCGGGTAGTAGCCAGTAACGAAAATGCAAATTATAATAAGACAGAGACAAACTATGCTCAGGATCAGAATTTCGTCAAGGATATGATGGAGATGCTAAAACAAATGATGAACCAACTTACAACTATGAACAATCTGCTCCTAGCACTAACAAATCAAATTACACAAAAACGGAACTANAACAAAGGGTAATATTTTGGTGTTATACATAGATTTCGAATATAAAAAATATATAATTTAACTAATTAAGACATGACAAAAAAACTGAGGTATGTCTTGTTTCTGTCGGGTCTGGGTTTTTTTTGTATGGGGCGTGACCGTTCTTCTTTGGCGAAAAGTAATTTGGCCAAACGGAAGGATACCAAATTAATCACCTTAACCTATTTGACACTTTAAATCAAAACATTATGTTATGGGCATCATGGCAAAGTAATATTATGCAAGAAACATTCCAGACTCATTATGCCAAATTATATTAATATAATTATGATATTAAAACGTACAAAATGTGCGGTCGTACACGAGCACGTACACGAGCCGGTGTTCTCTTTTATGATGTTAATGTTAGTACTAAGGTTACATTATTAAATAATCATTTATTAATGTGATTAATTTATTACTTTTACCTCGACTGTCGGTAATTATTCATAATAACAGGTAATTATTAATATATTTCAATTTCTCACATTTACCGTAACATATCTATAAACCTATTTTCATCATTCGCCAAGATTAATAGGCAGAGAGAGAAACGAGGAGTTCCGTAAACGAACTAAAGTCAGCGACATAGCCCGATGGATTAGCAAGCTGAAGTGGCAATGGGCAGGGTACATAGTACGCAGAATTGACGGCCAACTGATGAGATGAACTGATGGAGCACCAAGGTTCTGGAGTGGAGGCCACGTACAAGAAAACGCAGCGTGTGACGTCCACCCACAAGGTGGACCGACAACCTGATAAAGGTAGCAGGAAGGCGCTGGATGCAGGCCGCTACCAACCGTGCGATGTGGAAGTCATTGGGGGAGGCCTATGTTCAGCAGTGGACGTCCTGTGGCTGAAATGATGATGATGAATAGGCAGAGGAATTATTTGTGATACAAAAGATTCGTTGATCGAACTAATGAGGCAGCGATGTTTAACTTACATGGAAGTCGGTTAAAAATAATTCAACTTACAAATTATTTAAACTATTTATCCCAGGTGATTTGATGCTTTCATCCCGTGGACCGCCGGCAGGCGCTGCCGCTCTCAGCGCCACTAAACTCAGTACGATTATCTGAAATTAAATAAGAATTTAGTTAAAATTTTATGGTATTTTCTATCGTCATTTAGGCTGGGTTGCACCATTTAACTTTAACTTTGACAAACGTCAAAAGTCTGTCAAACTCCATACAAAATGCACCGGTTATCGTCATAGTTACCGTTAAAGTTAGGTGGTGCAACTCAACCTTAGACTAACTTCTGTGTTAACAGAAATCACACCAAAAATATGTTCATGTAAAATGTTGCTAAGACGAACCGTAAGGCCTTCACACTTATTTATTTATTTATTTAAACTTTAATGCCAAAATAAATTTGTACATAAGGCGAACTTAATGCACTAACTAAAGCATTCTCGACCAGTTTACCTTTGGGTTGAGCAAAAAAGAAATTTGTAACACTTCACTGTGATAAAGTTATAAAATCATCTCATGTAGAGCTAAGCTTCTAACTCTACATCTTGGTCAAAATATGGCACGACCATTTGTAAGGGTGTTTGTTACTCTTTCTCGCAAAAACTACCGAACGGATTTTGGTGTAACTTTACAGTACATACGAATAACATAATACAATTTATAACAATCGAGAACAAACTGAATTTCACGCGGGCGTAGCCGCGCGCATAAGCTATTAAATATTTATTTATAAAAAATTAAGTTGTATTAGGTAATAAATAAATCCGTGACATTGACAGAGGGGCGCCACCGTCAATCCCGGATTGCTGGTTCCGATTTTTGCCACTTTGGAAACTATACATATAGTTGGACGATGGTGGCGCCCCCCTATCAATGTTTTGGTGGGACAGTTCAGTGTAGTTCATCTATATGTAGTTCATCTTAGCAATAAAACACTGACTAGACTTTGACGCTTGACGTTGAATATTTCTTACTTTTACTTTCTAAATAGTGTTAATCAGCAAATAATTAAGTACTACAACTTTACTTGGACATAGTGAAAGAGGCCCTATCTGTTAATACTATTTCACAATTTCAATATTTTTAAGTAATGTACTTAAATTGTGTTATTATTACTGTTTATTACATTATAAGAAACATAGTAACTAAGTATTAACTATGTAATAATGATACATAATGATTAGGTAATAAATGTGTATATTATTTTCTTTTCATTTTTAAGCTAGGGGGTGCCTTAAACACCCAACTATCTTTGTTTGCAATTTTCATGATAACCTTTAAATAACTTTGGGCGCACCAACTCTTGTATGACACCCATCCTGGAACCTTTAGCCTGGCTTGTTCCCACGGAGAGATCCCGTTTTTTGCAGGATCCCTGTGTTTTAATTTTAAATTACACACAAACAGCCCGTTTGCAATGTCCCGCAAAAAACCGATACGTTCGAATTTGTAATTCTAATTTCAAACACACATATTATGTGTTCACTTTTCACGCGACAGTCCATACTGCATTACTGGATCCCGCAAAACTAAATAGCCGTGGGAAAGAGCCCTAAGGTGTATGATCTTGTTGGTGGTCCAGATTTATAATACTCGTATATCAAATTCTTGTGTCACAGTGTTTGTAACAAAACTCCTCCGAAACGGCTTGACCGATTCTTTTGAAGTTTTGTGTGTACCTGTAATCAGTAGGTCTAACAACAGAACGATAAGTATTTTTCACACCCCTAGATGTAAAATTTTAATAACATTTACTGGGTCAGCTAATAAATAAACAAATACTTAAGATTCTGATTACTTACCAGCTTCATTTATATTTTTGAGGTTGTCTTTCGCTTAAATGTACAGTTTGAAATGATGGCTCAGTTTATAAGGCCACGTATTATAACCACCTGAGAATTCATTATAAAATATTCATAAAGCTATGAGCACACGATGGGGCCGCTTGAAGGCTGCATTTTGCAGCTCGGGCGCAGCCATCGCGTATATAAATAATATGCCTATCACTAACATCAGGTCTAAAAAAACTTCATACATTTTTTTTTCTTAGACCAGTTCTGAGGCTATCTCGATTCGTGACCTCGTGATCGCTTCGCTACATCACCAAGTGACTTACAAAACAGTCGATGTGAACAATTTTATCGAATCGAAATCATAGGCTAGTAGAGTCATGTTTTTAAATAACGGGGTTATACAGTGTGAGTCACGTTAAAGTGTACATATGAAAATAGATGAAACTAGACCTGTTTTTATCGACAAAAAAGAGGTCAAAAATTTTTTGAGTTTTTTTTTTAATTTTTTATAGAATTTTTTTTCTTCCAATTACTTATTGTAAAGAAAACGTAATAACTTTTAAACTAAGCGGTAGATCCTGATAAAATAAAAACAGTAATAATGCTAAATAACAGGCGATACTAAAAAAATACACAAAAAAGTACAACAAATAATAAAAAATGATACTTTTTGAAAAAAATCTGCTTTAAAATTCGTGTTTTTTTGGTTATTTGATAAATTTCTCCAAAAAATGTCCCTATAACCGGTGGTTTTTATTATTTTTTATTGTTCTCAACCGTATTATCTTTGTAGAACCAAAAATCGCATGTCTCTATCCCTATCACAACATTTGCTATGATCGTTTGAACAAAGGCCTGCCACAACATTATTCTCCGCTACAGGTAGAGACAATTTTAATTTTAACTAAAATGCTTATTTTACTTCGAAATCTTTTGTTTTTATTTGAAATCTAACTTGTCTTTATCAAAATTACAAATCTAGAGCCATTTTCAGTTTTGTTGTTAACGAAGCGTTGAATTTTTGGTGCTTGAAAGACCAAAAACTAATTAATTTTATGATTCATATAGGGCCCTGACCATATGAATCACGCACAGATAAATCAGTTTTTTGCCTAAAATCGAGCAAAACTTGTCATACATACAGACTTCAGTGTTGTCATTTTTCTACATGATTATATAACCCAAAAGCATCACAAGAAAGACAGATTAGATTTTTAATGCAATAATGTAATTTTATAAAGTAGGCATTGTAATCAGCATGCCACCTGAACCAAGCACAGATGAATCAAGTATTTGCCTTCGTCACACCGGGTTCTAAGCCAACCAGCTCCACGTCTGCCTTCTAGCTCATCCGTTGCAAGATGGGCTTGCCTCCACGCCAGAAACCAGACTCTCATGATTAAAACCTGACCAGTTATGGTCAAGAACAGCTCACGCCATATGAATCAGTATTTTATGCCGGACACTGCTTATTTATTTTTTTGCGAACAAACTAACTTAATTAAAATTATGACACATTTTTTTTGTAGAAGGACAACTCATTAGCTTTCGAAATAATTTTAATTTATATTGATATATCAAAAGGAAAATGCTACATCAACTATTTTGTTCCGGAAAATGGCTAACGGACACACCATATGAATCAGAGAATCACACTTCAAGTATTTTTATTTTGTATAAAGACAGCAATTTTGTCAAAAATGTTATTTGCGCCAGATAGGGCTATAGCTAAGCTATACGAAAAAAAATATTGCATACCATTTTGTTAGTTGGTTACAGAACTATACCCAAAGACATCGAAAATTTTGCCTCCGAAGAAATACCCATGTACACTTTAACGTGACTCACACTATATAGGTAGACGTAACATTTTGAACATCTTGTTGTTGGAACTTCTGTAACATTGAGAAGTGATTAAATGAATATCAATTAATAAACTTAAAAAGGTAAGCTAAGCTGTAGATAAATATAATATACTACTAGCTGTGCCCACGACTTTGTACGCGTGGAAATAAAATCGTAATTTTCCCATGTTTTCTCACCGCATAAACCTTCCCTGGACTACAACAATAATTTCAAAACCAAAATCAACCAAATCGGTCCAGCCATTCTCGAGTTTCAGCGAGACTAACGAACAGCAATTAATTTTTATTATACATATACATACATATAGATTGCTAAATAAAAATGTACTTAAATAAAATGCGACCATTTTACTATCAACACCGCAATGTACATTTTCTTTTTTTCTCTGTCGTTTTGCTCTTAGCAGAGGGCGTAGTGTGGGTTTATGTCAAACGAATTAGATATCGACTGCGTAAAAAATATAAAATAAGAAGGTTTTAGTTCTTGAAATTTTCCGCTAGGGCTGCTGTACAATCCGTCATACATTTAAATTGTCATTTTTTTACGCAGTCTCACACTAGTTCACACTACGCCCGCAGTTAAGGCAACAACGCGCTTATGTTCACAGCCTAATTCTAGTCTCATTCAAAAGTGTAAGGTTAAGGTCAACGACTCTAAATATACATTCATTAAATAAAATAAAAAAACAGTTGCATCATCATCATTCAGAAGGAGAAGGTTCTCAATTCGAGTGTATGTTTTTTTGTATGTATGTTACCGCAGAACTCCGTCAATTATGAACTGATTTCCAAAATTTTTAGTTCGATAGGGTATACTCCCCAGGTGGTCCCATTGTCACCAAGTCAGGGTCTGATGATGGGATCCTAGGGAAATCGAGGGCAACCCTCAAATCTTGTAGGCAAGTATATCATTTTTCATATTTTTTCTTAAGGTATTCAAGTATCTGCGCCTGGAAATCATCATCTTATATTGAGGAGCTAATGATAGAAGGTAAAACTCCTTATTGCTTAGGAGTTAGAGGTTAATTCTTTTATTTTTTTAGATACGTATAGTTTCTAAAGTTATTCAAGTGTTTGCATCAGGTAGTTATCAGCTCGTCATGATGTGATGATGGAAGGTACAACTCCTCAACGCTTAGGAGTTGGAGTATAATTCTTTAAACATTATAGGTACAAATAGACTGACAATTGTATACTTTCATGTTTTTAAAGTGAACTGACGGTTTAAGGTATTTTTAGGTTGCCGATATAGTAACCTGTATACAGTACCCGGCAATAAATATTGCACATCGACCTTTGGAAAGAGAATCGGTTAATTTCGGCTCGTAGAGCGTTATCTCTGTCGCACACTACCTATACGATTGACAAAACGTCATTGACAAAACATTATTCAATGAAAATATTGTCCGAACTCTTAGTATTTCTCTTCGACAAATATTTTGACACATTGTAAACCACTTTTCTTTCACGACTATCAAAAGTTTTTAGCAATTTAATTANCAGTTTAGATCTAGGTGTGCGATATGTTTGATATTTCGTCACCGCGCCCGCGCCCGCGCCCGCGAGTCAACGTGTGCAAGCACATACACTTCACCACCGGATACCCGGCGCCGGTTAGCCGGCAACCGGGACGTGTGAAAAGGGCCTAAAGGTCGATGTGCAATATTTATCGTCGGGTATTGTACATATAGGGTGTTAGATAAATGGGTATATGAGCCGACACTAGCCCATGTTAACATTTATGCATATAAATGGTATCATTTTATTTTTTGAAATGTTCATACATAATAAAGTCTTATAAAATCAGATTTTATTTTATTTAGGACTAGCGGCCGCCCGCGACTTCGTACGCGTGGATCTCGTTTTACCCCCCCTTCATCTATCTTACGCGGTTCAGATTTTTTCATACAATTTTTTTTCCCGCTAACTCCCGTTCCCGTGGGAATTTTGTAATATCCTGTTGTAACTAAGCTTTAAGTTTACTAAGGTACCTGCATGCCAAATTTCAAGCGTCTATCTTACGCGGTTTAGATTTTTTCATACAAATGTTTTTTCCCGCTAACTCCCGTTCCCATGAGAATTTTGCAATATCCTGTTGTAACTAAGCCTTAAGTTTACTAAGGTACCTGCATGCCAAATTTCAAGGGTCTATCTTACGCGGTTTAGATTTTTTCATACAAATGTTTTTTCCCGCTAACTCCCGTTCCCGTGGGAATTTTGCAATATCCTGTTGTAACTAAGCTTTAAGTTTACTAAGGTACCTGCAATCCCAATTTCCAGGCTTCTACTTTCGCCGGTTTAGATTTTTCATACAAATGTTTTTTCCCGCTAACTCCCGTTCCCGTGGGAATTTTGCAATATCCTGTTGTAACTAAGCTTTAAGTTTACTAAGGTANTTTAATTATTAAAATCAATTGCACACATTTAAAATAAAGTTTGTTTACACTTTGACAAAACGTCATTGTCAGTAATTGTAGTGCGACAGTGATATCGCTCTACGACACCGAAATTAGCCGATTGTCTCTTTCTAAGGCCCTTTTCACATGTTCCGGTTGCCGGCTAACCGGCACCGGGTACCCGGTGAAGTGTATGGGCATGCCGGATTAATTACGCCGGAACATGTGAAAGCTACGTACTCGTACCATGCCCATACACTTCACCACCGGATACCCGGCGCCGGTTAGCCGGCAACCGGGACGTGTGAAATGGACCTAAAGGTCGATGTGCAATATTTATCGCCGGGTATTGTACATATAGGGTGTTAGATAAATGGGTATATGAGCCGACACTAGCCCATGTTAACATTTATGCATATAAATGGTATCATTTTATTTTTTTAAATGTTCATACAAAATAAAGTTTTATAAAATCAGATTTTATTTTATTTAGGATAACAAACAATTGTACAATTCAGATATGCAGTAAAGTTATACATCGAGATTTAGTTATTGTACCGCTATCCCTACGTTTAATGTAATTTCATACGTTTCATAATCTTGGCACCGACTCCAAAAGTATCAATCATGGTATATAATATTAATTCGTCCCAAAAAATAAGTAATTAGTAATTATTTTCTACTTTTTAGTGCATGATTTTTGGAGTCGGTTTTATTTTTTTGTTAAAATTCATTTTTAGGTTGCCGATATAGTAACCTGTATTTTGTAGGGAATATTATTTTACACTTATCATGAAAAATATAGTCTCAATGTACAG